GAGTTTGGGGTGTTGGATAAGGAATGATGGAAATAACGGGATTTGGCTCGGCGTATAGCAGACTGGGTGCTGTTTCGGAGTTGCTTGAAGTCTTCTGGGAGTTGGGTACGTTTAAATTGCCGTCTTGCAGCATCTCTTCTTCTCATGCACTCTCTCAGAGCGGGTGTCAGCCAAGGAGAAGGGGGATGTCGGATAGTTTTAGTTAGGAGAGGAGCATGGCAGTCGAGGATGGTATGAAGATGGTTGGTAAGGATTTCCACCATGTCGTCGATGGATTTTGAGGAATAAATGGGATCCCACTGGGTAGTATCGAGATCCTGCGACAGGGCTTCATAGGTGAGGGAGTTGAGGTTTCGAAAGGATATGGTCGACGAGAAAAAAATGGGACCGGGATGTTGTAGGAAATCTGGATAAGATCATGGGAAGACAGAAACGGAACCGGGTGCTGAGACGCTGCGAGGAGCTTATCCAGGGAATCCAAGACAAACAGATCAAGCTAGGACTCTGAGAATTGGGTATGATGGGTAGGGTTGTAAGGTACTATATAAAGGCTGAGGGATTGGAAGAGGCTGGTCAGGTAGGAATGGTCGGAGGATGGTATTGAAGTCTCCAGTGAGGATAATATTGGAGTAGGAAGGGATCAAGTCGTAAAGGTAGGTCTCAAATAAATCATCAAAGGGAATTCTGGGAGGGTGGTAAATGACTGCAAAGAGAAGGGGGGATGATGGGGTTAGGATTTCAGTAAAAAGATATTCTAGGTGTGGAGAATCGATCGGTATGGGAAGAGCAATGAAGGATTTTGAATTTAAGGCTGTCATGAACAAAGAGACCTACACCACCACCTGTACGATTCACTCTGTTATGACGAAGGTGGGTATAATTGGGTAAAGTAATTTGGGAAGATGGAATAGAGGGCTTTAACCAGGTTTCAGAAACTGTGATTAGATGATAGAAGTTGTGCAGGAAATAATCATAAAATTCATCAAAATGAGCTAGGAGTGACTGAGCGTTGACGTGGCAGGTTAAAAGGATGTTAGTCATGGGAGAAGGAGGGTTAGCTTGGTTAACGGACTGGAAGGTTTTGGGATAGGAATATTTAGCAGTTTTTAATATAATGTAGGTTTTGTTCTCATTGATGTTCTCTAACAGGGCTTAAATGACTGATTTTCAATATTAGCTTTCTCTAAAGTACCTTTAATTTTTTATTTGAAATAATTAACCATTTCACATTAGTCTTTGATATTAAAAATAGTTAAATATAAAATATTAAAGAATTTGATAATTAACTAAAGGAGAAATAAGAGATTGTAACGGATAATATTTGTAATACAAGAATCAAAGGAATACGAGCATGTCTTAGCTCGCTCGAATGATTACAACAGGCTTCCATATGTAACATAAGCTTACTATAACACAACAATATTATGTACATATAGATATGAGGTTCTGATAAATTATATCGTTGGTATTATTTAATATTTAATTGTATAGAATACAGCAATATAGAGTTTTCAACAGACATACACGTTTTGACGTCCACTGAGTCCAAATAACCATGTCCCGCATAATGGTCTGTGTGTGTGTTAACAGTCTAGCTCAAAAACAAAAAGTCGTACCGAAGTAAAATTGCATATTTAAGGTTTTTTATATACTAGGGATGGTACAGCAACTTTTTTGTCACAAAATCGGCTAACCAGAAGTGACACTTTATATAATGCACTAAACTTCCTATGTTGGTTGGAGCTAGTATGAACCCAGAGAACATAATTGTTGGTGACACCTCCATTAAGAAGAACCATACCTATAATAATAATAATAAATGGAGAAATAATGAATACTGTTTTCCTAGTTGAGAAGTAGAAAAAATACAATTTATTAAACGAAAGGTTTACCTCTATAGTGAAAGAAACAATATTTACGTGAATTAAAATGTCTAAAAGAATAAAACTTACATTGTTCTTATTAACATAAATAAAATTGTTATCAAAATATATTAAATTAAAAGCAGCAAAATCGTAATCTGGAAAATAAAAATAAAAAACGGCGAATACAGTAATGAAAAATAAAATATACAGCGTAATGAAACATGCGAGTGCTTGTCATGTGAATATGTCCAGGTCTGATAGCGAGTTTGGTGTACTATGGTCTACTTCCATGACTGCAATCCCCAAAAAACTTCTCTTCAACTATTTCTACCATCAGACAACAATTTCTCCATCATAAATATTCAGATTACTATTGTGATTTGAACCTTTGATTTTGTTTTTTGCATACAAGTTGACACTTTTTTACATACAAGTTTACACATTATAGATGCAAATTTACCAACTCTCATTAATTCACTTTTTTATAAAAACTATTATTGTTATTCTAATAAAAATTTATTCAAAATTTTAAATTATTTTTAAATTGTGAATTAAAAGAACTTTTTTTAATGATTAAACAATTTTATTGGTATGATTTACAAATTACAATTTTAATCCACTAATTTTTATTTTCTTATCTTTCAATTTCTCAAAAACAGATATTTCTCTTTAGTGGACGAATTTTGGAATTTAGATTCTATAGAGGTGTCTAGTACTAAGAAGCTATTTTCTGTTTATAGATGGGAATAATCCGCAACTTTAATAACTTAGGTCAGAGTAAACTTCAAAATAATCTATTAAAAATATTAGCTTAATACATCTTGTTCTTAGCACTATATAACTATATAGCCCATCATGTGCTAACTAATCAGTAATGTTAATTTTTATACCCTGTGTTTTATGTAGTATATCTTTAGGTAAAATTATATCTAATATTCTATATTACTTATTGTATTATAGTCAGTAATATCTTATTCCTACGATATTATATCTTATCTTTTATAATTCCACAATAATAAAACTAAAAAGTGGTCAGAAGAAGCCATAGATTACTAAGCCTCTTAAACAAGCTCCAATTCTTCGGAGCACATTTCAGTGAGAAAAGTAATTGATATAGAGAAGAATAAGTAAACTAGAACTGGGGATAGGATGTTGGAAGCTATTACTAGAAGTTTCTATAACAACAGGGCAAAGATGTTGAACAGTGAAAGTGGCAGCATTAAAATCGATATTTTTTAAAATTCTGTCCAAGAAATAAAATTTCCCTAAAAAACTGAAGGAAAACGAAGAAATGATTTAATCTTTAACACCACTATTAGGTTAAATCTCATTTTTAAACCAGCCAATATAACAATTAATGGCATGGACTATTGAAATAAATTGAATAGTATGAACCCAAAAAGAAAAAATCTGGTGCGGTACGCACATCACACAACTTTCACTTAAGACCCTCTTCTTAGCATAAATAAGTATTTTCAGACAAACCAAAGTGAAAGTAAAAATTATAGACTCTATATTTATTTATATTTCATTGCGAATATTTTTATTTGTATAAGTACTCTCATATATACAAATTTTGATATTTAAATCGCTATAATCTATACAATTAAATATTAAATAATACCAACAATAACCTTTATGAAAACCACATACGTAAATTTGTATAATATTATTGGAATCCATATTATATTAATCTCATGAGAAGTATAAAAGCGTGTTCTAATCTTTCGTGCATGGGTGCGCTCGTATTCCTTTGGTTTCTCAATTACAACTATTCTCCGTTACGATCTCTTATTTCTCCTTTAGTTATTTTAAAATTCTTTCATATTTTATATTTAACCATTTTTCATATTAAAAATTAATCCAAAATGGTCAATTGTTTAAAATAAAAAAAATTAAAAATACTTTAGAGGAAGCTAATATTGAAAATCAGCCATTTAAGCCCTGTTAACATAAATCAGAATAATAACCACATTGTATTTAAAACTGCTTAATTTTACACTGATATGATGAATTTAATCAAAATCGTTACAGCAGTTATAATCGTAAAAATGTGTTTAGTGCATTATATAAAGTATCACTTCTGGTTAGCCGATTTTGTGATGAAAAAGTTGCTGTACCATCCCTAGCATATAAAAAATCTTAAATATGCAATTTTACTTCGGTACGACTTTTTGTTTTTGAGCTAGACTGTTAACACACACACAGACCATTATGCGGGACATGGTTATTTGGACTCAGTGGACGTCAAAACGTGTATGTCTGTTGAAAACTCTATATTGCTGTATTCTATACAATTAAATATTAAATAATACCAACGATATAATTTATCAGAACCTCATATCTATATGTACATAATATTGTTGTGTTATAGTAGTAAGCTTATGTTACGTATGGAAGCCTGTTATAATCATTCGAGCGAGCTAAGACATGCTCGTATTCCTTTGATTCTTGTATTACAAATATTATCCGTTACAATCTCTTATTTCTCCTTTAGTTAATTATCAAATTCTTTAATATTTTATATTTAACTATTTTTTATATCAAAGACTAATGTGAAATGGTTAATTATTTCAAATAAAAAATTAAAGGTACTTTAGAGGAAGCTAATATTGAAAATCAGTCATTTAAGCCCTGTTAGAGAACATCAATGAGAACAAAACCTACATTATATTAAAAACTGCTTAATAATATACTGAGTTTAATAAAAATCTTTAAAGTTAATAAAATCGTTACATCCATGATATAAAGTACCACATCCAGTTTACGGATTTTGACAAAAATGTTGTAACATCGAAGCCTTATAAAAACCTTAAATATGCAATTTCACTTTCATACGACTTTTCGTTTTTGAGCTAGACTGACCACATACACACACACACCTACGCACGCATGCACACACACACAGACCATTTAGCGGGACTTGGTTATTTGGACTAAGGAGATCTCAAAACATGAATTTCTGTTGAAAACTCAGATTCGAAAATTTTCACGATCGCAATACTTACCCTTACTATATATTGCATATATACGTAAGTGAAAGTAAAAAATATAAGCTTCATATTCCATCCAGTTGATTCTAGATTAATTCTGTAAGCTAAAATAAATAAGCTATAATTTATTTGTAAGTAATACCTGATGGTCAGAAATTTGGGCACACACTTCAGATTCACATTCAGGTACAAATTGTCCAAAATCTAAAAAATAAAAAAAAATCAATAACAAGTAGATTGGCTGTAAAAAAAACAACTAAGAAAGTGTGAAAATTATAATGTTATGGAGATAGTTGACAGTGATTACAATATGAGGAGTTGGTCAGGCATATATATATATATATATATATATATATATATATATATATATATATATATATATATATATATATATATATATATATAACATCGGGGGACTCATATATGAGTCGACACGAAATCAGGCCCTGGCTGATGGTGGACTCTATATATATATATATTTATATATATATTGTAATGTTAACATTACATAGGTATTTGAATATTGGCGCGAAAGTGGTAACAGCACGAACTACTGAGAGGAAGCGCTGATGGTGGGGGAAGCAAGCCTCATATAACGGCAGAAGGTGACCAGCCAGCAAGTCGAGAAGATCTAAAAGGAATACTAGCCGGTCCGAGTGTTGATAGAGGCCACTAGTGGTAATTACTTTGTGTTGGAAGAAAGAACTAGCAGAAATTAATTCAGTGGTACCGAAAACGTTGGAACATTCATGAATAAGAATAGTTTATTTCATTGACAGGCGTAAACATTTGGGTGAGTGGCAACAATGCATCTTGCACAATGAATCTTTATATTGACAGAGGGATAGAGCCACAAAGTTTAGACCGGGACAATCAATGGTTTTGAAAACAATTATCAATTTTATATGTATAATTAGTGTAGTTAGTAATTAGTAAATTAGTGTAGCTTACAGTTATTTAATTTAGGATGAATGTTCAGTTGTCAGAACCCAACCTGAAAATTTATATCTATGTGTGAGAAATAAATGGTATATTGAAAAAGAAACTCGTTTGATTTTGGAGGGAAAGAGAACATTACAATATATATATATATATATATATATATATATATATATATATATATATATATATTCATCCACACTTTGTAATGGTTATTATTATTTATCTCTTAGTTCTTACTATTGTCATTATTCTAACAACTTCATTTTACTTTAATTTTTTTACCTACACTACTTATGTTTCTCATACCTTGTTATCTGGTTCTTTTCTTAGCCCTTATGAAGGCCTGAACTTCAGGTCGAAACATCGGCAAATGTCAAAATAAATATTATCATTTTTTTTGCCTTCTTATTTGACTGATCACCCCAATTATTCTTCTCTTCATTATTCACGACAGTCAACCATTTACCCACAATTAAAAATTAAAATTTGTTTTATGTTATGCGGGATCAGATAAAGTTGTACAGTGGTGGATTAGGTTTTCAGTTACATTATATTCTGATACCAATTGTTTTTAGGGAAGTTGTTTATACAGTCTACTTTAAGTTGTTTTAATGTACCAGTCAGTGGATATGCATGCATTTTTATATTTATGTTGTGTCAAAAGCTATCTGATGAAATAAATAACAATCATGTATTAATTTCAGTAAATATGCCTTTTTTTTTTTTTTTTGTATCATGTATTATTTTAACATGAGAAGGAAGTGGTCAGGGGTGCGGTCAAATATCCTAAATAAAATTATCGCACAAATCTAAAAACAAAATTTTAAATGAGGAGTTAATTGGGGGTGCAGTCAAATAAATACTAAATTAAAGTATAGTAATTATTTAATTTTTGCCGACGTTTCGACCCACTTTGCAGGTCGTCTTCAGGGCGTAGGATGTAGCACTGCGGGAGGCAGTTGAAACACTGACGAGTGTTGAATTATATATGATATGTATTTATTTCAATTATTCTCTATTATTACTTAACAGTTATTATCTCTGTTTTATTATCTCTCCAGAATTTTCCATTCTCTTTCTATTAAACTTTCGTTTAATCATCCATAATATTTATTAGTAATATATCTCTCGTCCATTATTTACGCTTCCAGTACTTTAGCTCAAACTTTGTCAGATAACCGTTAGAGATGAAGCCACAATACATCTCTTCTCTCCCCCCTCCCTTGCTACCAGATTCTCATTTCTCCATCAACCTTTTTTGGAGACAGGTTTTTTTTTTCTTTTCTCTTCCTTATTTCAGCCTTCTCAGTTTCTTTCCTCCTTCCTTTCATACCTTTTCTCTGTTTTAACTCTTTATTATATTATACGTTGATTGTACATTTTGATAGACTTTACAATATTTCAATTTTTTATCTAACTATTCTATTTGCAATATCTTAATTTTACTATTTATTTTCATTTCTTATATAACTTCATATTCTTTTCTGTTTTACAATTTATTCTAAGATTCCCATTTTAATACTTGTCACCTTTTTTTATTATATTTACTTCATCATTCCACACTTTAATAATAATGGTTATTATTATTTATCTCTTAGTTCTTACTATTGCCATTATTCTAACAACTTCATTTTACTTTAATTTTTTTACCTACACTACTTACGCTTCTCATATCTTGTTATCTGGTTCTTTTCTTAGCCCTGATGAAGGCCTGAACTTTAAGTCGAAATGTTGGCAAATGTCAAAATAAATATTATCATTTATTTTTGCCTTCTTATTTGACTGATCACCCCAACTATTCTTCTCTTCATTTTAATTTTTAATTCACAATTACTTCCCCGAAACCTTACTGCTTCTAAACTCACAGAACATGCTAAATTAATATTTTGATTATTATAGAACATGCTAAATCGTTATTTTGATTTTTATAACACATCCATTTCATTAGAAAAGACTATGGGCCCTAAACACTTGCTAGGTCTGCATACCATTTAATCCAACCAGTAGTGAGGATGAGTGGGAAGAATGGAGCCTCCTAGAAGATGGAATACTTTTTATCACCTCTACTTTAAATTATTTTAAAGCTTTAACTTAGGATCACTTCTCATAATAGAGATCTGTGAAAGAAATACTTGTTCATCAGCACTTAAGTTTTTATTTAAGGCATTATTAAAAAATTCCCATAATCTTCAGTCATTAAAAAATTACCTACTGCCTCATGAGAATGCTGCAAGATAGTAAGGGTACTTGTGAACAATCCGGTCAGGACGGAAACTTCCTTCTAATCTTATTTTACATCACATAACCTCCCTTCTTATCTCGTGTAAGCTGTTGTTACCCTTCTGTTACATGTGAGTTATTCCATTGTTTATTTTTTGTTAATTTTGTTATCTCTTGAAATGGATATTATTACACTGTGGGAATTGAATAGCCGTCTTCAGAAGAAGCTATCAAACATTTTCAAAAGGTCAGGATAATTCCAAAGGAGAAATTCTGTGAAGAAGGTCATGAAATGAAGTTTGACAGGAAGACCAAATGGAAATGCTTTCCCAGCAGTTGTAACAAAAACATATCTATATGAAAAGGAACGTGGTTAGAGAGGTCAAACAATACTTTTTCAACGGCTTTAAAATTTATTTATGGGTGGTCCCATAATTTAACAATACATTGGGGGAAAGAGCAGCTGAAACTATTGAACAAAAGTTTGATAAGGTGGAACAAATTTTGAAGAGAGGTTTGTGCCCATAACATGTTATACAGGTCAACTAAAAAAAATGAAGAGCCTGGTAAAGTCGTTGAAGTAGATGAGTCTTTTTAGATAGTATATGCTGTATGAAGGTATATGCATTGTATGCATTAAGTGTTTATGTAGTATTTTGTATAAAATATAAAATAAAATTGTTGCATACATATATATTTTTTTTTCGGTTAGCGCTACAGACCATGAAGATCTTTGACCACGAGATGTGGGCTCCTTGACCACATCCCGATTCTTGATTTAAATACATGATGATAGGGTCATCAGTCCTACACCCGGTCGGTGTGAGTTGTCTCCTGTAGGTTGACAGGCCTCACATACCCAGAGGGGGGGAATCTCGGGCAGCATAGCTTCCCTGGTGGACGGTCACCCATCCAAGTGCTAACCATGCTCGGCGTTGCTTAACTTTGATTACCTAATGCAAGAGCCTTTGCCGTACACCTACCCCAGTCCCATATATATATATATATATACGAAACTATATATATATATATATATATATATATATATATATATATATATATATATATATATATATGTTGTAAAATAAAAGTGTTTATTATTATTACATTTGTTTTTGTCTATTTCAATTTCCATAAATATGACATTTGTTTTTGTCTATTTCAATTTCTATAGATATGAATACGAAGATAGGGTTTATCAGAATCATCAGTGTTCAGGTTATAAACATTGGTAGATAGCAGTCCATCCCAACCGCATTGTTCACAAGTACCATAGTACAAAATGTAGAATTCATCACTGAGCCCAACAGGTTCTCGCCTCATATATGAGTCCACCATCAGCCTGGACCCGATTTCGTCTTGACTCATATGTTAGTCCACCCTTGTTAAAGGATTAAATGATAAAAATGTAGCCCTCTCCCCCAAGATTTAACTAAGATGCCATAAATTTAAAATTTTGGTTTTAGATTTGTGGAATAATTTTATGGAGGGTATTTGACCCTTTTCAGGGATTCCCAAAATCTTTAAATCAAAATATTTGAAGACTTTTAACTTACTTTGAAGACCGCGCATTTATCAAGTTCGAACGACATACCTATATCACTGGTAAAGGATGATACTGTTTCAACCATGCTCTGTAATTGCTGTTCATTTTTCGCATACAGTTTGAGATCATCCATATATCAACTATGACTGATTGTGGTATCGTCATCTGTGATGTTAAGTTTATAGCCCTCCTTGTTGCTTTTGAGTACCTGGCTTAATGGGAACAGTGTCATACAAAACCACAGAGGGCTAAGGCAATCTCCTTGATAGATGCCTCTAAGAATTTTAATTTGATTGTTAGCGCGGATTGCTCCTATATTCAGCGTAGTAGCCCAGTCCGCCATTAAATTTGAAAGAAGTTTGCTTATTTTAGATTGAACCTTGTATATTTCCAATACTTTGAGCAGCCAACTGTGTGGTACAGAATCAAAAGCTTTTTTATAATTAATCCAATAAATGAATGGCAATAAATGAATATATAACTAAAAGTTCTTTGCTGCCCCTAGCCCTTTTCTTGCATCCTAACTGTTTGGTGGGTATCATGCTCTGAGATTACAAGTGTTCATAAATCTTTGTTGCCAAGATGTAGGTCAGAATCTTATAAAGACCATTTAAACATGTTATTGGCCGGAAATCCTCAGAATGTAAGTTTAACTCATCCTTTTATTATTATTATTAAATATCCAAAACACTAGTTTCTAAAATTGTACTAAAGATTGTACATTATAAAAGTTCCAACAGAGTAAATAAATACTACTGATTCATCATAAAATTGATAAATAACAATATAAAATAAGTTGTAATATAAGACTCCTAATATATTTGGTAAAAAAATCTTTAAATAAATTTAAAAAGAGACCTACAGTAGAACCTTACTAAACCGACTTCCACTAGTCCGACCTACAGGTAGTCAGACCATCACGTGACCCCACTGAGCACTAAATATTCCTTGCAACTGAACTGGGGAGTAGACAATGAAAATTTCCCCCAAAACGTTAATAGAATCTAAACCCTTCTGTTGTAATTTTGAGATCATGTTAAAATATTTTGAATAACACCATGAATATACAGATGGTGATATATTGAAGGTTGAGACATGACAAGATGGCACAGAAAGAGCCCAAGAATCGGGATAATGTAAAACAAAAAAAATAATAAAAAAAAAATTATTTAAATTACTCTCCATTTATTTTATTTGTGAAATCAGTAGCTGATCCAGGATTTAATTTTGGATGGCTAATACTCGGAATAGAGATAACTCATAGCAACAGAAGGGTCCTAGAATAAAATTTAATTGTAAGCCTACAGCAACAAAGTTTGTCCAAGTTTTATCTTGGTGAAGTCTGGCTGTTATATTCAATGAATTATATTAGGTGTTATAGGAAAATAAATAATGATAATTTCACTTCTACTACTAATTCTTTTCATTTTTTATAGATTAATGTTTCAGATTAAAATAACCATTATCAAAAGCATTATAATCTATCAACATATAAAATACATCATCATCATATACAGGGTCCCCTTAGTAACAGAAAAAATTTTAGGAGAAAATAGCAGACCTCAAGAGCTATAAAAATGTTTATGTAAGCCATGGTCCAATTTTAAACAGAAAAGGAGGAAATTTAAGTAATTAACAGTTGCTTCAGATTAACCTCTTAATAGTAGTTTTTCACAGAAATAAATTAATAAATTATTTTAAAGCTTTAACTTAGGATCACTTCTCATAATAGAGATCTGTGAAAGAAATACTTGTTCATCAGCACTTTAGAAAATAAATTTATGAAAAAAAGCAATATTATTTTATAAATTAAAAAAATTAAAGCTTTGTAATAATTTATCGTTATTTCAGCGAAAAACACTAGTATTTTTTTACACAACTAGAGGTGAATCTCAACTAATTCTGTAACAAATCTAAGCTTAATTAGCATAGACTTAATGCTTAGGAAACAAAGAAGTTTTTCTTAAAGTGTAGTAACTTTCGTATAGTTGGAAGGTGATAAAAAAATGTTTGCAAATAATTCGAGATTTCATGAAAAACAGAACTTAGCATAGTTTACTATGATACAATTGTCAATAGCTTAAATTGAACATTTTTTTAATTATCACTTCTTATTCAAGAAACAATCATAATTTACTTACAAAAAAAGACAAAACATAAATTTCCTGCATTTCTGCAGAAAATTGGACCTGATATCGACTATTACCACTTTAAATATTTCTTTTTTTGTTTAATATTATGTTTTTCCATAGCTTTAAATGTTGACCTTAATATTTTAATTTCTATTCACACTTAAGTGTATGCCTCAAGGTCAGTTTAATAAAAATCAAAATTAACTTTTGATAGTTATTTATTGTGTGTTTTGGGGAATCTGTGTCCTCCTCTAGCAATCTAAAAAAATATACCAATATATTTTAGGTTCAATTTAGAAACCAATTATAACTAATTAAAGTATACAACACATAAAATAACTTTTCAAATAAATGTTAACTATTTTACAAAAATCTGTTAAAAATATAAGTTACATTTTACTCTCCCAAAAAATATTGATGTATCCAAATTTATGGGAGAATATAAGTATCTTATATTTTTTAAACATTTTTTTTGTAAAATAATTTATATTTATTTGAAATTTTTTTTAAGAATTACACAATTTCGCATCAAATATTTGTAACTTAAGGATTTCTTCGATATAAGGGTCCACTATTATGTAGTGGGAGGCACTTTATATGAGAATACTTTTCGGATTTCTTCAATATATGGGTCTACTAATATACTTTAAATTGACAAATATTCTATGCACAATCTTAAATCCAACAGTATTTTCATAAAAACCAACCCTGGCAACATAATAGTACATCTTTAAATTGAAAAAAATCCTTTAAGTTACATATATTCGATGTATGACAGTGCAATCTTATATCCGACAGTATTTTCATAAGTACGACCCCCAAAAACATATTAGTGGACCCATATATCCGAAAAATCCGAAAAGTATCAAAAGCTCGATGCACAATCTTAAATCAGACAGTATTTTCAGAAAAAGCACACCCAACAACATAAAACAGGACCCTGATATCGAAAATATCATAAAAGGTACAAATATTCTAAGTATAATTGTACAATCTTTAATCCAAAAGTATTTTCATAAAAGAGCCCCTGAAAACATATTAGTCAATTGTTAGGTGTTCAATTAGGAAAAATTAGCACCTTTGGATTTTTCACCAAACTAGTTTCTGTGCCAAAGAACATGGGACAACCACTATTTATGCATCTATAAAAATATATCTCTTATTTTTTTGGGTTGTAAATCATAATAAAAACATTGTATAAATAAATATATAACAAAAATGTGTATATTTTATAAAAAATATTACAATTATAGTTTCATAAGTTGAATTACTGTAACAAATATTATTTAAGAATTTGTTTTTCCTAGTTTCCACTCCTAACAACAATTAAAAAATAAATATTATTTATTTATAAGGAATTCATTATTAGCAAAATTATAATGACAACTATATAAAGAGGTAATACAGGGTATATGTAATTTGGGTTTGCCTACTAAGGATTTCCCAACAAGCGAATGGCGTTCCGGAATGATCAACTCTAAATTATGATTTTTGGCATAAATAATGTGATTTTAATTAAACAATCATATAAAACATTCACTTATACATGACTAAAACACTATAAAAACAAAATTCAATTTCTTTATACGGAAAGTTCTGAGAAGAATCTGTTAATCCGTAGTGTGAGGAATAGTGCTGTAATTAATTTACTACATTGGCTAAAGAATAAGTGGACCAACGTAGAATTCAAGTCTAAACTTACAGTCTAAAAATAGCTGAGTTGGGAGTGGGGTGGCTGAGCGGGCAACATGTGGAAAATATGCTTAGTCCAGCAACCTGATAAACTGAAGATTACCAGATCAAATCCCGGTGTCTGGGGGACTTTTAACTCTGGCATTAATCCTCCCCTCTTCCCAGGCCAGGAGAAAACCCCATATAGCCGAAAAGGCAAGGAAGGGAAAAGAAAAAAAAATACATGAGTTAAAAACAATAACTTGATTTAGTCATATAGAATGTTTATTATAATAGAATTAAAATATACTTCTTTTAAATGGTGTGAGCATAGAATTAAAATTAATTTAGAATAATAATTATGCAATAAACATTTAACAAGAAAAAACAACCATAATATGCGAATTTTAACACAATAGTCCACAAATTATTAATTCAAATAAAACAAAATATTGATAAACAATATAAATAATTATGAAATGTTAACACATTTTTTTTGTTGTTAACAATTCAATGTAATTTAAACAAATCAAATTACTAACTAAAAATCTTTCAAGATAAACTTCCAAATTGTATTTCACATATATTTTTTTTTTTAAATCTAAACATTTAAAAAATGATATTTTAATGCAATGAACTCATGCTGAATCCTGAAGTCTACAGGTAATCAAAGAAAACCTGAATGATTGTTAATATAATTAAGAAGCATATCCTCTTTACTTAAAAAACTAAGGCATGCAATTTCTATGACAAATTCATACCTCCTCTTGTTCCATGAATATGAGGATATAAATGGAATCCCCCTCGGTGTGAATTAATAGGAATTACTTGTTCAATTAATTCAACCTAAAACAATAACTTAATGATTAAAACTAATTAATAAAGTTTTTAAAACCGGAAAATTTATAACTATATTTATTGAACAAGTTAAAAAGGTTGTTTTTATTTTTAAAAAGTAATGAGAGTACCTTGATTATGAAAGTTCTTTAATAGTTTTGAACTTGAAATAAAACATTCTGAAGAAAAACTACACAAAAATCATAACATAAGATATTGTGGAGATTGACAACAACCATAATCATTGTAATACTTGCTATTATTTTATAATTATTACTCTATTATATTAATGTTGCATAAATACTAAAATAATTGAAAGTATATTCGGAGCCTGAATATTTTTCTTGGATACTCTTTTCAGTGAAAAAGGAATTTAGCTCAGATCCAGATCAGCTGGATATTGTGTACAAGTTTTGGAACTGACAACAGAGAGGTTCCTCCAATGGATTGTCCATTTAGATTTAGGGTTGGGTGCTTAGGATAAAATGTTATCAAAGTATTATGCTTTGGCTATCATAGGGATGTTTTTAAAAAGTTTTGAAGAGATTAAAGGTAAAATAATGCTCAGGCAATAATGTGCATCTGAAACATCTAGCAGCCAATTCCTTCTCATTAACTCTCTTATTTCTGAGTTGATTCAGGGAACAGGAGGGCATCTGAAAATACAGGTTAATTATGATTATGAAAATTAAGGAAGTTTGAAAGACATTTGGCCATGTTAAAAATGGAGGAAAAAGAATAAAATGGTTCTAAGACAAGAGATAGGAAATTAAGAAAAGGACTAATGTTTTCTATGGTTAAGGAATCGAGAGATCTTCAGGAAATTTGTTCGGGAATAACTAAAGGAGTAGATACATTGAATGAGATTTCAATAACATGCGATGAAAGGAAGGAAACAGAAGTTTTCAAAGAGAATAATAGGTTTCGGAGGAATTGATGATAAATAAGTCAAGCCAGATATCTGTGGACCAAGTATAATGGGTATATTGGAATAGTATAAATAATAAATGAGTCTAGGGAGAAAACTAGGTTAATAAGGTATATTCTATATGAAGTATATTCGCCACAGTATATTGCTTCATTAATTTTCACTTTAAAGGAAAGAATGAAAGAGAGAAAACTAAATATTGGAGGGGTCGGTCATTCCTTACAAAATCAACCAGAGGCCTAACCCACAAAGTCTTGGAATTTGATATTTTTTTTGGTTATTTGTTGTATGCATTAATGTAAAGAAAAGTACAAAATTTTAGATTTTTTGGATCTACAGTGTTTGAGTTATAAATTTTTAAAATGATAAAAAAAAAACAATGAAAAAAGGTGTGTTTTAAAATAGTTTTTGGGCTATTTCTCAATAACTAATTATGCTAGAAAGCTGTAATAGGTGCCATATTTTTAGTTTTTTATGGTCTTTATTATGATATACTACATGAACATTTTAAAAAACCTCCTTTTAATTTTCTCTTTAAAAGTTTTCTCAAAAAAATATTATATTGTTAGAATATGGTCATGTAGTATATCAAAAGAAAGACCATAAACAACTGAATAAGATGAAACCTGTTACAGCTTTCTAGCTCAAATAGTTCTTTGTTTTCTTTATTTTAAGATCAGCTGCATCATTGTGAAAAATCTGTAAAAACATGAATAAAAAAAAACAACAGATTTTAGATCTTCCTCCATTCTAATTAAAGATATAGATAATTAAAAATCCAATAACCTAGGATTTCAAAGATATCCTAGGTTATCCAATAATCTAGCGTTTCAAAGATATCCTAGGTTATCCAATAATCTAGCATTTCAAAGATATCCTAGGTTATCCAATAATCTAGCATTTCAAAGATATTCTATAGATAATAAACCTATTCTAAGAGAAGGAAAATCGAGATTCATCCTGCGGGTCTGCCACAAAATGAATTTCAACCCATCTAGGTTGGATTCGAGCCAGCACCAATGTGAAGCAGCAAATCCTACTGTGAACTAGGTAAAATCTTTTGTCACATATTTGGAACAACTAATGTTGGGAAGGAAGAAGAACAGAATGATCTATGATCTGTATGGGAATATTGATATGAGGAGGCACACCAATTCTGGAAGACTACATTGGGCTGGGAACAATGCCAGATAATACCACAGGGAATTAGGAGAAAAGTTGCTGAACGGAATGCTCTAACAGACAAGCGGAAGAGACAGACAGACCTTAGATGGGAGGATGATGTTATCCAGGATGCTCGAGACCTCCTGAATACCTACAACTGGCGAATGACCGCAGAGGATAGATTCACCTAGCAAAGGCTTATTGAGTAGGCCAAGGTTTGCAGTACTACGGAGTAAACAATAAATAAATCATACACAAATACAGGCCCCGGTCTGGCTCAGTTCGGGGCACTCGGCAAAAGTCTGAAGTGGGGCCCCCTTATCAGGACAATAATATATAAGTGGTTTCTAGGGATTAAACCCATTCAAATTTTTTTTTTAAATTCACTTATCAGGATGTTCCTAAGGCCCTCCAGCGATTTTTGTTTAACCTCCCCAACAGTGGCAAAATGCTTTTAGTCTGTGGGCCAGACCCCCTTACCGTGCACCCCCCCCCCACATCCCTATAAATTGCATATCGTTGTGTTCCTTGTAACTATTTATTAAAAAAAAGCCAATGTTCCCACAAAAAAAAGTGAACGCACTGCCCCAAAATGGCGTCCAAAGATGGCGGATTGACGACTTTGACTTTAGTTAGTTTTTTGGTCACTGCGAATCAGCATTTGGCTTAATTTCCTCATAGTTGGTCTTTTATTAAAGCTGAATAGTCATAGAATAATAAACCATGAAGAAATATTAAAAAATAATTGGCTTAGGCTATGAAAAACACTACTAAAGTCAATTTTTTTAACAAAAAAATTTTCAAGTTAAAAATCAAGCGTCATTTGTAATTAAACGGCCTACAATAACGCAAAACGTGCTGAAATAAACCATCTGGAGAATATATTTTTCTTTCCAAAACGCTGATTATTTTTTAAAAACTTTTGAACAGTTCCGTAGAAAATGCACTTATGCGGCAGAAAAGCGGTACTGGCGTGGGTGCCTACAGGCCTCTACCACACCATTCAGTACACATAAATGGCTTAGTTAAAGTGATATAATAACATTTTTGGTACATTATATTGGTTTTATTAACGAACAAATATTAATGCAATAATTTAATTGTAAAAAAAAAAAATTAAAATTTTTTTAAAAAAATTTATTATTTTTTTTTATTTAACCTTCTTTATTCTACACGTAGGTCGTTTAAGAAGACCTTGATTGTAAAAATGATATAATTATAATAATAAAACTTAATTAAAAAACTTTGCTAAATATCTTGATTTTTTTTTTATTTAACGTTTGCAATTTAACATTGTGTTTTGTATATTTACTGATTCTTAAAGGTAATTAAAATTTATATATACTTCCCAGGAAATGAGTCGTATTAATACCTGTTTTATAAACTAAAATAATATATACCTAATCTGAACTATATATAATGAATAGCTGCTGGGTTGTATAGTAAAACTCATATATCACTAATTAAAAAATTAATTTTTATTTCCTTTATTTTGTGCGGAAGTTGGACTATATCATAAATAAATAGGAAATTTTATTATTGAATGAATTATTCTCTCTGCACAAAGAAAGATAGAAACGGTGACGCTATAAGTTCTTCTATAAGCCAGAACTGATTGTTTGGATTTGGTCTTGAAATGAGAAAAAATGCGAAATTGAACCCGAAAACTGGAAAAATACATTAAGCGAACGAGAAAGGAAGTGCCGAAACCTCGGAAAAGATAAAAAGTACCAGTATCCATTATATGGCTAAACGAATGTATAGTAGACAGATGAAGAGAATATTTCAAAATGCTGCTAAAAGGGGGTCAATTGCAGTTTGGATGATATTAAGTGGACGATGTAGGTTTATTATGGTAAAAACCACTTTATTTTCGATTGCTGAAGGTGCATATCGGGACTTTCTTCACTTTGAAGCAGGATATATAGATGTATATCGAGAAAGTTATAGCTCATAGCTCTCCTTCTGCTTAGTGCATTTGCAAACGATTTTTTAAGGAATCTAAAAAGAAAAACCTGCTTTTCTGAAAGACAATTAGATATTAGCACAATCCAAAGTGTAAGGCACTAAGGAGATAGAGAGATATTTTTCGTTGTATATAGACTTCTCTATAACCTGCCATAAAGTGAAGCCAGTCTCAATTTTCAACTTCTCTTCCAATGTGCAACTTGAGTTTCTCAATCCATATCGCTCTGGCAATCGACAATATTTCTTATTCCAGCTTCTACGATTCTTAATGTAATACCCATCAAGATCCCTTCCGGTTTAGTGTACCAAAGAAATTATACTCAATAAACCTACATCGTCCACTTAATATCATCCAAACTGCAATTGACCCCCTTTTAGCAGCATTTTGAAATATTCTCTTCATCTGTCTACTATACATTCGTTTAGCCATATAATGGATACTGGTACTTTTTATCTTTTCCGAGGTTTCGGCACTTCCTTTCTCGTTCGCTTAATGTATTTTTCCAGTTTTCGGGTTCAATTTCGCATTTTTCCTCATTTCAAGACCAAATCCAAACAATCAGTTCTGGCTTATAGAAGAACTTATAGCGTCACCGTTTCTATCTTTCTTTGTGCAGAGAGAATAATTCATTCAATAATAAAATTTCCTATTTATTTATGATATAGTCCAACTTCCGCACAAAATAAAGGAAATAAAAATTAATTTTTTAATTAGTGATATATGAGTTTTACTATACAACCCAGCAGCTATTCATTATATATAGTTCAGATTAGGTATATATTATTTTAGTTTATAAAACAGGTATTAATACGACTCATTTCCTGGGAAGTATATATAAATTTTAATTACCTTTAAGAATCAGTAAATATACAAAACACAATGTTAAATTGCAAACGTTAAATAAAAAAAAAATCAAGATATTTAGCAAAGTTTTTTAATTAAGTTTTA